AAGCACCTGCATGACTATCTCAATCTGAAATCAACTGGAATCAACTTTTTGTTAGAAAATTTGGGTTTAGAGTAGCACGGTTCTGAATTGAAAAAAAATAACGATTGAATAAGTTCGGGTTGGATGATTCTAAACTCAACCTGCGTCATATATATTAAATACTAAATTAAATTAAATATATAATAGAAATTACAAAATAAAATAATCTAATCGATAACTCCCCTTCAATTCTCACTTTATTTTTCTTTTTCTTTATTCTTCAATTTGGAGTTTTGTTTTTTGACGTCCTAAGAAAAGTAAAGGAAAGAGAGAGAGACATGAAAACATGAGGACGAAGAGGAGTCGTTACCTCGAACAAAAGAGAAAAGTTAGTGAGAATTTCGGCGAGAGCAGTGGTTGTTGATGATGATGATTGATTGACAAAAACAACGTAAGTGAAAAGCAAAAACATAAGGGAAGAGAGAAGAGCTAAAGTGAAAAGACCAAAAAATGGGGGAAAAAAAAGGGGAAATTGGAGACAAGATTCTCATATGAGGTGAGAAGCATGAGAGAAAGATAGGTAATAACAACCATGAAATCAACAACAGTCTTGATCACTTCAAACCCATTAAATTGACAATTTATTTTTCTCTTTAGGAGGTAAAGGGGCAACGAAAGAAGATTACAAAAGAAAAATCAACTCTAATAGAAAGAGATAATTAAGCGATGTACAATAATGAGAGATCAAGAGAGCAACTTGTTATAAGGGTGTTGAATTTTGAAGGAATAAGAGGAAATGAATCTTTTTCACTAGATATATATAGATCAAGTATGAGATAGATAATCCATAATCCTAATACAATCAAAAATATTCAAAAAATTAAACATGTTTCGGGTTCATAGGGGATTCAGGTTTAGTACCCAAAAAAGTATGTGAGTTTAGTTTCAGTAATATCTATCCCAAATTCACCCTATTATCGTCACTAACTTGTATTCAGTTTTGATCTTAAATTGTGTTTTTAACTTCTACGTCTTGTGATCAGATTTTGAATCTTTTCTTCTAGATTTATATGGATCAAATACGGGATGGATAATCCAAAGTCTAATATAATTTAAAATAAATTCAAAAAAAGTAAACAGGTCTCGAGTTCAAAGTGGGTTTAGGTTTAGTACCCCAAAAAGTAGGATGAGTTCAATTTCATTAATATCCCTCCCGAATACACCCTATTGTCGTCACTAACTTGTATTTAGTTTTTGACCTTAGGTTGTGCTTTTGATTTCTATGTCTTATGATCAGATTTTGAATTTGTCGATGTAATTTTATTTTATGATTCATACTATTATCTTTAAAAAAATTATTTTATTTTTAAAAATGCAACTGAAATATTAAGAATATTATTACTAATGGATATAAAATGTAAGATGTAAACTGTTTTTTTTTTTTTTTTCAAAAAGAAAAATTAGGTTGCACAAGATAATTCTACAAAAATAACATTAGACACTTTAATATATTATATATCATTACTAAATTAACCCATTGGAGGAATTGGGACTCACATATTCCTCAACCTCCCAAAGAATATATGTTGTGTCAATTAAGCTGTCCAAGGACAGATAATTTATTTTGTAAACATATATATATATATATATATAATATAAATAAATAAAATTGAATTAATATTTAAAAGGGACCCAATCATGTTATATAAGTGCAGTCATTTTCAAAAACAGCCATAATACAAGACACTTGAATTTCTTGCATGACATAAGAATTAACCACACTTTCCCACATGACAAGTAGCTGATGTTTGCAAAAAGGTTTTTGATGTAACGACTTGGGAATATTCTCCTTTACCCAATATATATACACATATACATGTACATATATATTACAGGTTATTAAATAAACAACTAATAATCAATAATTAATCAAGTGGGAAAATAGATTACAATCGGATGAGAACAAATTAAGATTCTTGTTCCAAAACATATGGGACTTAAAGAGGTAGAAGCCAAAATTTACAGGAGAAAAACTATAATACATATTTTATTTAATATGTTTTAACTTTTAACCATGCAGTTTATTGGTTTATTAATTAATTATTGAAATTGCTGTTTCTTTTCATAGTGACATCCTGTAAATTTGGAAGATTAACTTTGTACGCTGCATTTGGACATATCTAATCAAGGAATTATACAGCTTAATTTACATTTATTTGATCTTCTCAACTCAATCTTGTGTTCTTCGCCTAAACTAAGTAATTTGTTTTTCTTTTATGAACAGACAAAAAATTTATGTACATAATATAAATTAACCATTTATAATGAAATTCAATTTGACCCTTAATGGCAATTGATACATAGATATATATATACATATATATATATAAACATTCTTTTTATGTTAACATTGAACGAAAGAATCTGGTTACATAAAGAAAATAGCCAACAATAAGCAAACAATTCCCTTTAGAAAACACTTTTTCTTTTGGTTGGATTATCCAGTTAAAGCTTCTCTTTTTGATAAACAGGTAAAGCTTCTTAAGTTATATATGACTATATATATATATATATAGTTATATAGTTATATTAACACAGCTCACCTTGGGTTGATGATTGGAAGAAAATGACAAGAAAAATAACAATCATCGTCAGTGGTCTAATGGCCGTACATGGTCTTATTGCCTGTTTGTTCTAAGTAGATGGTTTGTCTTTGTTTTTATAAGTTGGGTGGTTCGTCTTCTCCTTTGTCATTGAGTTCAACTTCTGATCAAGAGAACATTAATTAAAATTCTATATATACATATATATATATATAGACACACACATGTATATATATATATATATCAGGACACGGGCTAATTGAAGGCTTAAAATATCTAACTACATGTCAAAGTACATCTGGTTAACGTCGTCTTATTAAAGCTTATGGAAACCAATAACTTTGTTTGTCATGATTATTATTTCACTTAATAAGTCTGTTCTTTTTATAAGTATATGATATATATAATTATCTCGTCTTGTTTATCTAGACTTTGTGATGATCAATTTATTATTCCCCTATATGTATATATGCGATTTACATATAATTAGTAATACGAACATTTAGTAGAGTCCAGCAAGAAAATCCATGGCGTTCCTTTTTCTTGTATAATATGAAGAAGTAATTAATTGAGTCGTGTCGCATCAGATGATTAATGAAATCAATCATCTTGTTTATTTATATAAATACAAGGTAATTACAGATGGCAATTATACATACATATATATATATATATATGTACACAACTTGTTAGATTATACATATAAGACGATAGTATTGACATATTTGGGAATAATATATGGTCTATGCGTGATGTGAATTTTAACAAAAATTCTTTTAAATAATGATGCGTTGCATGTCATGGATATATGCAGTTTACCTAAAGGATATATATGGGATGAATTTAGGTTTTCACGCACTTGCTTACATATATATTCATATGTAGGTGCGCATATATATATATATGTATATAACTAATAAGAGTTGACAAGGGAAAGTGAAACAGAAGGGTGCTTTGTGCGAGATTCGAAGATTGTTTCTGGCAAAAAAAGCATTATATTGCTGCAACGTGTGCCTGTTAACCATTTGAATCTAAGGTGCATTTTTTTAAAAAAAACTAATGAAAGAAATATACGTACGTACAAAGGTATGTACGTGTATATATTGTATTAGTGAATATTGAAGAAGATTGGGTGTTAGAGGATTTTCCATGCATTAACCCTTTCAACTATAACAATCATCATTGAATTTTCACTGTAAATTAGGAGAAAACTGAAAAAGAAAAACTAATTTGTGGGGGTTAATTATATTCATAATCATCCTGTAAAATGTTGAAAATCACATCAGATCGATCAAATTAGGAAACTCCCTCTTAGTTTCCTTTGTTTTTTATAACACAAAATTCCAAATTAGGAAAACTCACACAATTACCCACAACAAATATAAAAAGAAATATTTAGTGGAGTTTGAGTGAGTAAAATAAAAGGGAGCTGGGGGAAAGAAAATTATGGAAGAAAACAAGAAAAGGAAAGGGCTGGGGGGAGAAAAACCCAAAGCTTCAAACCACAAAACGTTTCACTTTTGGGATCTTCTTAATTTCCTTTTTCAACTTTCCTGTCCTTGACCACTTTCTTTACACTCTCTACAAGACAGTGATGTATTTAATTATAAATTACTTTGGAAAAATTAAATTATAAGATTAAAGTATAGTTTTGAATCTAAATGTACGCGTGTGTGTGTGTATATATATATATATAGAGCAAGAATAATCTTATAGGTGAGGAGATGTCATCTGCGTACCTAATTTCAGTAGTGCAGATTAATACTCAATATGAGCTGGTAGAGTTGACTTACGAGTCCACCGACTTCCTCCCACATTCACCATATCTATATCTCTGCCTTTTAACTTGTCAATTACATTTGAAAATATTTTCTTATTCTAATAAATATTTAATGAACTAATAATGAATTAAGACTCCTGTCAGAATTTAATTTTCCAATTACATTCATCACCTATTCTTCCAAAACTTTTTTGAATGGCTCAAGTCAAACTCATTATTATTATTATTTTTTTAATGGAAATCATTAGGAGGGTGTTGTATTAAGAAATCCCAACATGCAAAAGATCTGGTATCAATTCTTAATAAACCCTTCTTTTTCATTCGTCTAATAAAAACTCAAATGGTGATGATGGTGCGTCCCCATTACACTAATAATCCATAATTAGGACACCATAAATCCAACAAACCCATGCTTTGCTAGATTCTTCATCAATTCTTAATAAACCCGCATAAAAAAACAAAAAATGAAGTCAACCATTTTATAATTAATAATAATAATACTTCAAACAAGTCGTTATGTACAACAAATGTGTTTGCCTGTCTAATCTACTACCTAATCATCTTCTCTCTTCTGCCAGAAGCAAACCCCCCTAAATCTAATCAAAACCCCTCAACAACACCCACCCTTCTTCTTCTTCCCCCTAAATTCTTCATTCAAACAAAGGTAGATATACATGTACATACATTTATATATATATATATATAATAAGAATAATTGTTGTGGTGGCCCCCAAATTTCTAATGCCTATCTATTCACCCAACTCAACTAAAACAACTACCATCAACCAAACTCTTCTCTCTTTAATATTTATGTACAACAACCAAATCCCAATCCTCAAGCAAACAAACAATCCCACTTTTGCCTTTTTCAAGAATATGATTTGATGAGTCCCAGATTGTAGAGGTTCCTTCTCACTAGGCTCCCAATTGAAAACAACACTGCCCCACCAACTCCTGCTGTTTGCTCTTCCCTTTCTCCCTTTTCATGGTATATCAATGGCAATTCCTTCACTTTCAAAATACTCATTCCTATCTTTTCCCTAACTGATTCGATTATCTTAGAATCTGCCCGGTTCCCCTTTGAATCCGTTACGTAGAACACATTCGATGCCATCTCCCTTGTCGTTGATATCTCAGCCCTTGTCACATTAAGACCATTTTCTCTAAAAGTTCTGGTCACTTGTGCTAATAGACCTTGCTTATCAGCCGTGTGTAATTCAAGCCTCACGCCCTAATCATTACATTAAAACCATCGTTATCATCACAAATAAAATAAACGAGAGAATGCTATGATTTGCAATGAACTTTATATGTATCTATACCTCGGATGCTCTTCTTTCAACAGCAGCTTGTAAGCATTGGATCACACGTTGCCTTTCAGGCTCTGAACTAATGGGGGTTCCATCCGTATGCTTAATATAGAATTCCTGAAACAGATTGAAAGAAATTTTATAACTCAATAACCCTTTTCCAAATTGAATTTATTGTTCTTGTTAAACTAAAGCAAAAGATAAATATGTATATGTATACCAGATAAGCCCTGTTTGAAGCAGTGTTGACGGTGGCATGAAACACTACATACTGCATATCTGTCAAGGTGCAAACGACATCGAACAACAAATTGGGTCTATCCTTGCACTGAACATTCACGACGGAATAGCCTCTTTCGACCCAATTTTGCACCGTGACAACCACAGGAGTCTCAGCAGCCTTAAGCTGCAAGACAGATTTCCTCTCGTAATCCCTATCCGCAAACATTATCTGATGCAGCCTTCTGTCCATGTGAGTTACAGCCATTGAAACCAAAGTCTTGGCGCTTCGAATGTCATTGTCTCCCTTCAATACGCTCCTTAATCGTTCCTCAATTCTGTTTATTTGTTGCGAATCCTCTATTGGGGACCCAGATTCGCAGTCTTTAACGTAGATCAAGGCTGCAATTCTACCATTATGAGTCCATACTTTAGCCTCTACGACACTACATTGCAGGTCAGCTAGAACTGCGAAGACTTCAGATAGCAAACCAACACGGTCTGGTCCAGTCAACTCTAATGCTGTTAAATCCTTAATCCCGTTGGTTCTGACACAATGAATCGTTTCTAAAGACTAGCAATGAAAATAATAAAACCCAAGTTTCAGTTTCAATGAAAATTTTAAAATTTATTGTCCTCTGTTTCTAATTAAGTTTGCCACTAAAAGCAAATTAAGTGACATAATTACCTGCTCAATATAGCTAATAACGCTCTCATCAGTCAATTTGTTTCCATTCAGATCAGTCACATGAAACACTGGAAAAAAAATAACAAATTGAGAAAAACTTATATATCAAACTTACAAGATAGACCCAGAAGAAGAAAACATTTGTCTTTTCTTCTGCTCTGTAATTAATGCAGAGTCAAGTGCTTACCATCCATGAACCACCTTCCATCAGAAGAAATGTAAGCCTTCTTAATTGAAAGATTCAGATCTGTGAGAACCTGAACAGCCTCTAACAAGATGCCATGCCTTCTCGCACTGTCAACCTGTAAATCAAAAACAGGAAGGTGAGTCAATGATTTGACTTGATCAAAGAAAAAAAAACAGAGATGAGAACGTAAGATAAGAAGTTGGGTGGAGTGATTAGAGGGTTTCGTGGAAGCTAACCTTGACCAGTGTCGCGGTGGGGCAAACGCCATTGTCAATCACGACTCTGTAAAACAATGAAAGGTCAAGTCAGAATTTTATTTCCAAAGTTCAAAAGTTTGGAGCGAGTATTCTCTGGAACAAAATTTGGAAAATATTTCTTCGTTTTTGAAAAGTCTTGAGGGCGATTAACAGGGGAAGGTAAAAGAAATCTTTATTTTCTTAAAAAATAATTAGAAAATTAAGACTAGAGAAATTAAATTAATTAGTCGATGATTATGAATTAAAATTTTTCATTAATTAGTGAAAATTTCATGTTTGAAAGAAATCTGCGTTAATTAGTGAAAATTCCATGGCAATAGAAATAAAATCTTTTTAAAAAGTCAATAACTGAAAAATTCATTAAAAAAAAGCTCGTGTTTATTAAGAATTATCTCCACAAAGGAAAAAAGAGATGACGCAACATGTTCTGAGATACCCAGATTCAAAATCGAACTTGAGAGAAAGAAAGGAATGACTAATGAGGAGCATAATTGTTGAAATTACAATTTGAGTTGAAAAGAAAAGAGGAGATGACTCTGAAAGGAAATCAAACGTCGCAAGCGCACTGTAACAAGAGAGAAAACCGAAAAGGAAGAAGAAAAAGCATGACAACGATGAAGGACAAATCTCAGAAACTCTGTTTTAAGGTTTTGCAAAATCAAGGACCTAGGAAACATCCAGTTACTGATTTTTTGGTTCTTTGTAAGATTTCTGGGTTTGAAAATTTAGAAATAGAAGAGAACGAACCTGGGAGTGTTCATCCTTATAACAAGCTTCTCATATTCATCCAAACAAGCGGGCCACTCCATTTCTCTCTGTTTCTCTTGATCTATAAGTGCTTTAACTCAAGGCACTTAACAAAAAGAAATTGCAAGAAGACCGCACCAGAAGAGCTCTCTCTCTCTCTCTCTCTCTCTCTCTCTCTCGCACACACACACACACTCTCTCTCTGTAAAAAAAAAAAAAAAGGAGAGATTTAAAGACGCAGAGCAAGGCAAAGTTGCCCAGAAAACCAACGAACTTAGTTGTAGCAACCAAACAAAGCCCAAAAGCCAGATACGATCAAAACCCACCAACGCTTCAATTCTTCGACCAAATGGCCATTAACGACTCCACAAACACAAGAACTCCTTTTCTCTCTCTTCTTTCCTTGTTCTCTCACTCACTCTTCTCTTCCAAGCACAAAGCACACCTTGTTCTTAACTCTCCCTCTGCCCTAGAACTTGAGGCATATATTCTCATGTGTCTGGGTATAGATATATATATATATGTTTAATATATAGTAAGCAAAGATAATCTTTTATTATTTTGAATATTTTCCTTTTTTATACAGTATCGAAACCACGCCTATACGCAAAGAGAGTAGGCATGGGCAAGAGTGGTGTTGTCACATGGCATGAGAAACGCCTGCCCGAAAAGTCTGACCTTGCTGACCCCGTTGGCTCTTCCCTTCCGTTCCGGGTAAGTCCACGTGTCACTGGATCCCTGGTCCTGGTACCTCAAAATCCCAGGTGGGATGCCACGTATGACATCGGTCAGCGGCCGGTCTTTGCGTGTATACGACTCTAACTGCTGGAAGGGGCAATCCACGTGGCAGCACAAGAGCAGTTGATTTTTTCTTGCTACGTGTATAGCGGTTGAGATGGCTTGTTAATTAAGTCTTAATTTTTTTTTGCCGACTGGAATTATGACGTCCACACGTGACAACACCGCCCTTATGGGCTTTTCCTGTGTCACTTTTCGGCCGTATTTTCACAGGGCAACTTTGACCTTCCGTCTTGCTTATAACTAACCCGTATATTTACCCAACTATAAGGGGTAAAATTGTCATCTTAGACAGGAAACTGTTGAGAATATCATATCCCAGCTACCTTTTTTTCTTCCAGGGAAGCTGTGAACGACAAGATTCGTACCTATGCGTTGGATCAAGTTGGCAATACACAGGGACGGAGGGTGCAATCCAAGCATATTCATATTCCTCCTCCGTACGGTTGTCCAGGTGGAGGATAAATTAGTCTTTTCACCAAACAAACTTCTACAATCTCACGTGCTTGCATTTAATTGGTCGGGCTCCTCCATAACCCGCGCATGATATTAGACGTGCTTCTAAAAAAAAAAAAAGAAAAGTAAAATGTTTTTCAATTTCCTTTCACGACCGTTGACACGTGTCACGAGAATAAGTCATGTCAACAAATGCTCTCCCACAAATACAAGCGGGGCCCACCTTGTCTGGAGATCACGTGCAGGCATGTCAGAAGAACACGTTCCCTCGTTAGTTAAACTGTTTTATGTCTCTGGCCAATCGGAGTTCACAGAACACCGGCGCTACAATTTTTTTTTTCTGGTACGGGAATGATAAAATTACCCCAAGATCCTTTAAGCCGCACGATCGCAACCAACGTTCGTTCGCGATAGTGCCACGTGGAAGACAAAGCATTGAATTCTACAACGTGCGTCGCACACTGGGAAACGGACGGGGGGTTTTATTACAGCCGTCTGAAAACGACGTGTCGGTTAAAAAACAGAGTGACGGTTTAATCTTTGAAAAACAAAAAACAAAAACTTTAAACGCCTACTTTTCCGTTTCGACTTGGCGGGAACCCCGGGGTTCTTGGCGCCAAATCGGACGGCGGGGGCCATGTCATCACGGTGATGCATCAACATCGATAAATGAGAAGAGATCGGGTCCCACCTAGCAAGTCTTTTATGACGTGGATTGTACGTCGGGGTGCGAGAATAAAATCCGAAAGTTAAAAAGAAAAATATTTGCACTGTGCAGTGTGCGCGGCCTTTTGCAGTAGCGGAAAGCTGGGATAGGAAACGTGGAAGACAGCTCAGAAGTCGGTTGGTGGGTCCCATATAATTTCTTGACTTTTTGACCGTTGGTTTTTTGGCGGCAAAATTTAAAACCGTTCAGATATAGGAAGTTTGAAATTACAGTGGGTTTGAATTGGATGCAGCGGCGCCGCATATCTCTGCGTGAGACACTGGAAGCATGTCTTGGTGAAACGTGATTAGACATGTTTCTTTGACTTCCCTCTCGAACACTGCAATGACTTGCCAAGACTAATGGGGGCCCCACCTAATGGTAGACGCAGGATCCCGAAATTTACTCCCTCAGAAGATCTTGGCCGTCAAATTAGGTTACTAGATTTGGAAAACTCTTGCAGCACGTCAACACCACGTCCGGGATTGCATGTGCTGTAAAGAGACAACCGGTAATCATTAAATTACTGCATCGTAGCATTAAATTGCTTCATTTTAATTAGGAATTTAAAAATGTGTATATATCTTAATTATAAATGAAAATCAAATTTTTTTAAACAGATAAAAGTATATATTTATTTATAAATTTATAGAAAAATAAAAGAATTAGTTGTTAGAAGAAGAGCATTGAAGGAAAAGAAGTTGGGAAGTCAGGGAACGTGCGTTGGCTTCCACCTCCATGCATCGAAAATATACACGTACGAAAAGCTTAGCTGTAATTCTAAAAAGACTTTATTAACAGCTGTAAATATCTACATATATGTATATGACGACAGCATTAATTAAAGACATGTAGTTCTCGGGAGTACCTACACGTCCGTATATTATATTTATATTTTATATTTAATTATTAATTAAGTAAACATATAAAAATTTCAATTTAGCCGCATTTAATGGTTCAGAATTAACCAGGGTGCAGTGTCTCTATTGAAATTGATAATTTTATTTTTTCAAGTATTTATATTAATTTTTTTAGATAAAATATTTAATAAGTTTTAAAAATTAATTAAAATAAATAAATATATACATATATTTAATCAATATGTTTCTACTGATTTTATCTTATATAAATTGAACTTATTGGTGTAGTTGGATTTTCTGGTATTACCACCAAAATAAAATAGACCAATTCCCTCTATTATTAATTTCTTAAATTAAAGATCGAATTATATCTCTACTAATTTGGTTTAATCTATATTAAATTTATTGGTGTAATATGATTTTCTAGTATTATAACCAAACTGAAATAAATTAATTCCTCATATTATTTATTTATTAAATTAAGGACCAAACAATATATCTATCCACTGAACTGGTATTATTTATTTGCTTATACTAATGGCTGATTAACATATTTTTTTCTTTATTTTCAGCCATCAATTTTAATTATCTCTTTTTTTTTTTTTCTTTTTTTTCTTTCGTATTATATTATATTCTTTCTATATTCATTTCCAACATAATTAATTCTATTCTATTAAACTCATTTCTATAAAAATTTATTAAAAATTACACTTAATCCCCTATTTGTACTCTTCTATATCCTTTATCAAGTTCTATACAAGTCAAAACACTATACATAAAATTTTCACAAATTACTTATATGAATATATACTTGTAGATTCATCAAAAGCTAACGTAAATGTGATTAATGAAGCATATCTAATTAGATTATTATGCATAATGACTGATTGATGAGTTAGTTTAATTAAGTTGGCATAAGCATTGATTATAACCAATTTGACCACGGGTAAAATTTGTGATGATCATGATCATCGAGCAGAGAACTAATTTAACGATAGATGATGGGAGGAATAAATATTAATATTATACACACAAAAACAAAGACCGTGAAGACGAAGCAAAGGCACTGAGGGTAGCTTGGTTTCCAAGTTTGAGGAGGGATTATGACAAATCGCTCACCTCTCAACCATATAACTTTCTACAATTAATAAAATTAAATTTTAATAATTTTCCAGTCGATAATATATCATCTAACACGTGCAATCTATTATAAATAATTTAGGAAAGTATTTATTTATTTTTTTTAAATAAATTAATTAATATTTGAATAAATAACATTTTTCATGCACGAATAGTAGTAGTATTTTCAATCAGTATCCGAAAGGTATAAGTAGAGAGGCACGTGAATTAGAGGGAAGGGAAGGGAATGTGGGGTGAAGAAAAGGAACAAGACATATTGTTGAAGAAATTGAAAATAAATCTAAGGGAGAATAATGGTGGGGTGTTATGACATCAAGATCTGCCAACTAGAGAAGAGTAGTTGGAGGGGGAATTAAATTGTCAAAAGGATATAAAAATGCTGCAATTTGAAGTCAATTTAAGATTGTGACTTTTGCCGACTCTTTTTTTTTTTTTTTTTTTTTTGTTTGGGAGGTGTCACCAATTTAAGCCTTTTTGTCACACTATGATAAGACAATCCATTATATGTGTTATTGAGGTTTTGATTATCTTGAAATACCAAATCAATTAACTGTAATCGAATTCAAGAAACCCATGTTGTACTAATACAACCTAAAACTTCATATGTAAATCATGCGCTCATCCTACATCCTTTGATGTAAGTGTCGCGATGCAAATTGATGCTATCTTTAGTTGTTTAGTTTATTTTAATGAATAATTAATTATCTTATTTTATAGAATTAACAGGTATGATGAATCGTAAAATTATTTATTTATAAATTTTAAAATAACTCTATTTCTTAAAATTAGTCATAACTTTTATTCATTATTGATAACAATAAAAAAAAATGTAGTAATTATTATTGTACATAATACACTAAAATTATTACGCGCAATGTGCAAATGAGCATAATTAACTTTCACCCACTTAATTTTAGCATGTGAATAATTCTTTTATGGAATTTCATGCTTACATGTGTGTGTATATATGTGTAAACTACAATAATTTCGGCGTACAACGAGCATAAAAATAATTTCAAATAGGGTAAGGAATTTAGTGGTTAGATTAGAAGCATTTAAAATAATTTAATTTGTCACCAATAATTAAGGCCACTGATTTTGTAGGTAAAATAATGAAAAAAAAAGGAGGTGGTTTTAAAACAATAATGAAATAATTTAAAACAAAGTATCAATCAACATTTTTATTATTGAGTGAAAGTGGGAAGGAAAAACATAACTTCCATTAATGATGAATCAGTATATATATATATATATATAGAGGTATGATTGGATTCTCTAACATAATTGAAATGATTTATATTATATTCTATAAAAGTAAATAGTAAAGTACAACGATTAAAAATAAAATTATAATGAATATTTAATCATTTAATGTTATTTTATTATAATAATTAACAAATTTCATTCGACTTAAATGATATTAGTTTTTGCATGAAATAAAAAAAAAAGTAATTAGATTAGATGCATGACAATCAAATCACATAGAAATAAGATTATAATACATAATGATTTCGAGAAATATAGAATGAAGGCAAGAGAGTTCTAAAACGGCATGTGCAACATTTGTAGGATAGTAAAATATAAGAATTATTGCATCTTAACTTGTCTAAAAATAAGTTAAAACTATAAAATACTTCAAACTTAAAATACCAATTGGTTGAATATCATTTAATTTGTGAACTTTTGTTTCGTATTTTAATAACAAGCATCTGTATTTTTTTTAAAAGTAGTTTTTACAAACTAATCAATAAATTTCTCGCTTTGAAATAAAAAAATCGAGCATTACTTTGAGAGTATAAAATATTTTATATCATCTTAGAACACTAAAATATTATTATACCTTAATATTATTTTAGTACTAACTCATTTTTTGGGACCCAATTGTATTTTCAAGACTCTTAACATTTTTTTTTAAGTTTTTATGTATTTTTTAAAAAATTAGCATTTTCATGAGCTATCAAGTTATTATAACTTTAAATTTAAAATAAGTTTTCAAACTTCATTTATATTCTCCGATACTCGAATATTTTTCTAGTTTTTTTTGCTACAGTCTTACAATTAGTATGTGTTTTGAACACGTTTTAAAAACTTATGTGCATTTTTAACATCAAAACTATATTTCTTTATTTAAATCTCATACATTAATAAACAAACTCATATACAGTTAATATATATTTTATGAAATTATAATTATAAAAAGGCTAAGACAAATTATTTATATCATCTTTAGTACATTAATTAGAAATATTGTGATGTTTTTTTTTATATTAGATAAAGTCACGTAATTTGTAAAGTGAAAAAAAAAAGTGAAGAAAATGAACTACCCAAACGAGAAACAAAAATTGAGACGAACTAAGCCAAAAGAACACAAAACATAGCTGAAAACATAAACCAACAAAAGGCACATGAACATGAGCCATGTTTAGGAGTTGATAAAAAAATTATATGAAATTTGAAAACTGGACATAAGAAAATATGTTCTCGAAATATTATTTTATAATATCACAGTTGTTTGTAATAGTAATCATGAATATATAATGAGTTTTACACGACGTAGACAGGGAAATATCACAATTATAAGTAGTAATGAAATCAATTGAAATAACATCTTGTTTTTCTTGATTAATTTAATAAAAATTTGTATTTTAAAATTTACATGTGGTAAAATGATAAATAGACTTGGGGAAAAGTTGTTGGTTTCCTTTTGTAGCACATGTTTTGACATATAATTGCTTTTATGAGGTTGAATGACAAAACCCACCAAACCAAACAGCTCCTTAATTATAAAAGCTAATTAAGATGTTAGCTCACCTATCGCATACAAGTACATTTTTATGATTAGTGTTTTGTTAGAGCACTATTATACCTAGCTTGCCACACAAACAATAACAACTTCTTAACTATCCACCCATCTCATCTACTTAATTAGTTAAATAAATTACATATACATATATATATATATATATAATTCTAATGAAACATTTATTGGGTAATTCCGGGGTGTGTGTATATATATATATATATATATGTATAGTTGAGTCCTAGCTGTAAATTTTTCTATTATTCATGTCAATTTCACTGTTAATTAATTCTTACAGTTGATGCTACCCCAATATATATATATATATATATATATATATGCGTTGACTGATGGGTGCAACTAATCGCAGCCAGTTAGATGGGTAATTAGGTTTTAGTTATTGTCTATTTGTTTCTTTAAAATAATTAATTTAATAATCACAGCAATTAGGTGATTAATTGAGGTCTGCTGCTAGTTGAAACGGTATGTGAGGTGATGAGTACTTACAGGATGCTCTAAAAACATTAATAAATTTGATGGGTTAGACTTAAAATTTGAAGTTAAATAAAAAAAAAAACTTGATCAAAATAAAATTTAAAATACACTAATCACATTTATAAAGTTTAATGACCAATGATAAGTATTTTAAATTGTTTATTACATAAATGTGATTGGAAAAGAGTTCATTTTCATGCATGGATGATTCTCTTAATTATAATTAAAATAAGAAAATAGATTATACGTACGTAATTAAACATTAATTAGGTTTAGAGATTTTTTTTTCTTAAAGAAATCATTCGTGGCATATGGGGTATCCGATAAATAAAGAAATAAAAAGGAAAGCACTCAATTTCAATTTCAAATTAATATATAATAATTACTGACTTAATTAATTTATTTATCTGAACTAATTTCCTATTTTAAAACTAAAAACCCCATTAAATCATGCTTTAAACTAGATTTTGGGCACTTTGTCTCAAAATCCCGCTATTATCGACAAGGTTTAGCCAAAAAGTGAAGTCAAAGTTGAAACTGCATACAACAATCTCTTTTTATTTATTTATTAAATAACTCCACTAATTTCAGTGATAATTTAACGAATAAATCATTAGAAATAAAGTTAGTGATTATATAAAAGTTTATTTATTTATGCTAATGGAAATAGAAATACATATATAGTTTTGTTTTTTCTTTATTTATTTACTTACCATAGAAATAGGTAGAGATCACATGCAGAGGTCAAGAGATCTGGTAGGTGGATGCACATGGAAAGATTTTACATGTCCCATCTTTTTGATTTTCCAAATTGACTCACCATTCTTTTTTTTTTTTTTTTTTTTAACCTTTTACTTTTTTACTTTGCCCTTTTACCGCCTCTAAGATATTTTCTAGAAGAGATGGTGGGCTTAATTTAATACCCCAAGTGGGCACCGACTGCTTGCGCCCACAATCATCCTATGATAATACTAAATAAATAAAAAATAAAATAATTTTAAAATATTTCGGTGTAGTTTTGGTGCACATATAAAGTTAGATATGTGAATATGAAGTTAAGACATGTTATCCAATCGCATGAAATGTGTCCGTACAAATTCAAAAAGCAAATAAGATATCTTTGCCCCATCTTCTCTTCTTTGGATTTTATTATTTTTGGGTTACGTTGGTAAAGGAATTTATGTACCCTAATTTTAATTCAACTCAAAATAATTAAACTATAAATGTCCATGAAATTGTGTTCCTTAAATCTTACATTGAAAAATTAGAATTTAGAAGCAATATTTTAGCTCGTGAGAAACAACCTTTTAATTGGACAAATTGAATGGCCCGTTCTCAACGTGTCAAAAAATACTGTTACTGGGCCAGGCCGGAATCTAAAAAGCCCATTTCAAAGAAAGTGGTGGGTGCAAGCACGACACCGTTTCACCAACTACTTGCTTTTGCATCTTCCCTACCCGATTATACTCAAACGTCCAAGAATCTGCAAGTCCGAACTCCCTCTGCATTTCCGGGGATTGAAATGGCAGCTCACTCTCTCCCGGAACTGCACTTAACAAACACACAAAGCTTCCAATCTAAAATCAGTGTAAAACCTGATCCGTCTTCTTCATTGGTTGTTTTCTCTGTAAAACGGCAACTAATAGGCCTACAAAGGCCGTGGCTTGGCATCAATTCTCTTCGTTCAACGTCTTCAAATCCCACACCAACCCGAGTCCGCCCTCTCACCGTGACTGTCGTCTCCACCCTCCCTACCGCGTAAATCCCTTCATTTCCTCCTAAATTTTCCATCGTTTATTGTCTTTATATTGTCTCTTTGCTATCATTTTACGTGGACTAAACTGTAATTTCAGGTTCTTGTGATTGCAGGAAGCCAGAGAGATTCACTTCCGGCGAGAAAGTGCCCAAGTGAGTTATTCTTTGCATGACTTTTGCATTTCGATTAAATTATTGTTTTCTGGGATTTAAGATTATGTGAATGGAAAGTAGATGGTCGTGGAAAGCAATTAAGACATTTTCTATGGCTGAGCTTGAAGCGAGGAAGCTCAAGTACGCAACTACCGGAACCGAAGCTCTTCTCATGGGGATTTTGATTCAAGGTCGTATATTTCCCCTATTTCTATAATATTAGTTCTGACATTAGGATTGCTTACTTAAGACTCAGTTGTATAATGATTTTTTTTGGTAAGCCCCAGGGAAGAAGTGGTCTTTTAGTTATCATTTTGGAACTTAAATTTACATGACATTTGTTCAATGCCAAAGTCCTTTAGCTGGAAGGATTAAGACTGCAAAGACTAAAAGTGAACACAGAGAATTCATATATAGTGGCATTACCTGGCTAGCAAACTTCCTTTTTCTTTTGAAATAACTAGTTCAAATGGTAGCTTTGTGTTGCTGTTAAAGTCATTGCTTAGCATTATCATCTGCATGGCTGTACATCCACGGATGTGAGAAAAATAGGGGACACATTTCTTTACAAACTTTTTTTGACAGTTTAAGTGGATATTTTATTCAGTTAATTCGACCAATTAACCTTGTAAAATTAAACTGCTGAGGTTTCTTAGGACTCTTTGTGTACCTAGCATTACTTGATGGCAAATGAGAGGCAGAATGTCAATATTTCAGCAAACTTGTAACACGTCATTTGTGTTAAAGTCTATTGAGAACAACAGTCCAAGGAAAAACCTTATGCTTCAAGAGAATTTTAACCTTCCAAAAGTCTTGGTGAAAGTTTTATTCTAACAATTGGGTTATGAGTAAGATGGCTGAGAAAAGATCTATGGATATAAACACCTGACAAATCCAAAATCCAAATTCTGCTATTCTGAGGCTCAAGCTCATAAAGCAAGGATACCTATCAACAGATTCCCAATCATTGAGTTTGTTAAAATAAATGCATATTGTACAGGGTATGCCCCTAAAAGATGAATGAAATTGTAAATAAGGGCATTGTGGCACAAAGAAAGGTTATATAGATGAGAATAATGAATGACAAGTGGGCACTCATTAATCCAGGTATTATTTCCAAATAAAATACTGGAACCATCCCCACCCTGCATCAGGTAAAAGGAATGAAGAGGTTGTATAGCTAGAAAATGTCTTTCTAGGAGCTTCTGTAAGTCATAGAATTCTTAGCAAGAATATCCTTTTCATTTCTATGCATATCATGGATGCTCTCAATCACCGTGTGTCATAGAGAAAGAGGTTCGTGAGGAAAACACTAAAAATCATTTAGCTCAATATCACTAGGTGATCTCTTGAGATTTCACCAATAGATTACAAAAAATTCCTTATAGTCTTCTTAATATTCTAAGCCACTCCTTCAGGAACCCTATACAAAGAAAGATAATAGAGAGAGATATTGGATAAATAACCCTAGATAGAAGTAATTGGATTGCGTACAGAAAACATCATTCCAACAATCAAGCCACCTAGAGATCCTATTGACAACCTCCTCGCAAAAGATTCAATCCTAGGATGTCCCCAGAAAGGAACACCTAGATGAGCTAGGCAACCTATTACTCCCAGTAACCTTAACAAGAGCTCCAATGACTTGATAGATTACATTGATCCTTGCCATGCCACTCTTATTTAGGTTAATGTGGAGCCTGTAAATTCTCTCACAATTTTGCACAAGAAGTAGTGCATTATTGACCAATCTCTCATTATGCAAAAGAAAGAGAATAATAATATCCGCGAATTGAAGGTGAGAGACCTCCACTATCCCTCTTCGACACATGGCCATGTAATTAAGCCTCTCAACATATACCAACATATAAAGAAAGTAAAAGAAAGGATAACCCTATCTTACACCCTTAAAACATTTGATCTAGGATTGAGGCTTACCATTAACAAGAATTGCAAAGACACAGAGGATAAGCACCCACTAATTGACCTTCTGCACATCTCATGGAAATCCTTCTAAACATAAGTTCATCCAAGAAACCTCAATTGACCTTGTTATAATTGCTTAATTTTAATTTTCATACAACACAATGACGTGTGATATGTGTATGTTCAAGGGCTTGTTTGACTGTTATCTTTGTATTATGAAGAAAATTAGCAATCGAACCAATTTTTAGTTGTCCTAGAGTGTTTCCTTGGTAACAAAAATGATGTAGCAACCACCAAACATAAGGAGCTAATCTATTTTTATAAGCAAGATGATGTCACTATCATTGACCACCCAACTAAGAGGAGCAAATGGGTAGATGCAATAATTGAGGAGAGAGTGAATTGAGTCACCTAGTGGTGCCTCTCTTAATTTAATAATAAGCAATTATATCGCTTGAATTGAAGATGATATCTTAGTTGATTTCAACTCCATGAAGGAGAACGAGACTACACCTGCAGAGGTTACACCAAATTTTTTTTTTGGCTATTGTGCTGATAACCAAAATTTGTGATTATTTCTTATGTGCATTTTTCATGCCCAACTGGTGTGCTACTCTTTTGAAATCCTTGCTTTTGAAAGCATTATTCTTTTGTCACTATGATCTCAAGTTTCATGAATTTCAATTATTAAGAAGACAAGTTGAACACGCTGAGGTTAAGTTTTCTCTAAGTGGGAGAGAATGATGGAGAATAGGAATATTTTAGAGTGCATATATCTCAAAATATTATGAGATATTTATGTAAATTATAATCTTTATGTATAAGGAACTACTAAAGTAGGTTTCTTATTGGTTTAGGAGCCTTATTTCTTACTTAGTTAGAAGTCTTATTTTGTTATCGTTTTTCTGTTTAAGTATTCTAGGGATATAAGATTATGTAGATATTCTATAAAGGTATGGGTGTGTCATTATTGTGAAATAGATTGCTTATGAATAAAAATATATTAATAGTCTGAATTGAGTGCCTAGCAACTCTATGATTGTGGTTGTGACAACCCTATGGTGCAGTTGTTGCCAATCCCTCTGATTTTGTTTTATTTATCTTTTTTCTTTACAAGTTTTTCAATTGTTCTAAACCCTATTTTTGTGCTACATCAAAGGTTGTAAACATTGTTTTGCTAGATGCACCCATGTAAATAGATGTTTGCATAGCAGCCAAACTGTGCTTGACCTATATTTGTATCACAAAGTGCCTTAGTGATATCACATTCAACTGAAGTAATTTCATCCAATGAGCAGGAACCAATCCCGCTTCGAAATTTTTGTGGGAAAATGGAATTACACTTTTCAAAGTACGTGAAGAAACTGTAAAGTTATTAGGAAAAGGTGACATGTATTTTTTCAGTCCTGAACATCCTCCTTTGACTGAAGATGCGCAGAGAGCTCTTGATTGGGCGGTTGATCAAAAATTAAAATCTGGTGAGTCTCCATGCAGTTTCTTAAATTTCGGTATTCTTAGATAGCTTTCTAATATTATTTGCTCTCTTTATACTTTTTATGCTGTGGGAGCATAAGTTCACTAGCTATATTGCGATTATTTTGTGTATGTGCAAATGAAATTGATTTGCAACTTAGGTCGATGTGTGAGATGACCAAAACCCAATAGTATAGCTGGTTCTAGAATAAGAATAAGCTTTATTTTGAGAGTTTGTTTATGTTTTCAATTGTATGCTGTTTAATCATGAAAATATTTTTCTTCATCTTTTGATGAGCAATGTTTGTTTTTGTTTGAAATTTTCTTTTTTATTGTGTTGTGTAAGCTTGAAAAGAAAAGAAGAAAATGACTGGGTTTTCTATGTGAAAAGTTGCACGGTTGCTATGTATGTGAGGATAGGAACTGTATCTTGATCCGAAACCTCAACCTAAATGTTTCTCATATGGCATGCTGCAAGCATAAAGAAATGAACTCTCTTCAAGTAGGTATGCTACTCCACCAACTCCAAAGTTATTACAAATAACCTTAATAATTTATTTAAGATTTGAGAATTAAAATAATTACAAACCATATATCTTTAATTTGAAGTATCAAATTTCCAAGTCTCTAAAAAATTGAAAAGAAAAAAATTCTAGATCCATTAATGTAAAAAAGTTCTAGATCCGTTAACGTTCTAAATACTAGCAAGAGAGTCCTCGGAAGCTTCAACATCAACTACATCAGATACATTTTCTTCAATCTACATGGGAATTTTAAAAAACAAAACACAAGCATAAATGCTACGGACTTCTATTGGAAGAAACTAAATAAGAAAAAAGTATTAATCATCTTGAGGCATATCAGCATTAGTAGTTGGGAATGGGAATGAGGCAGTTGAAGTGTTTCACCTGCTCTTTGCAGATGAACACTCCTTTCTTTGATTCATTTCCAAATTGTCTTTGGACTCAGGACTAATTAGGGCATGTCTCAATTAGTTCCCATGGGTGATGCGGTGGATGTAGGGGTACATGCTAGAATTTGGGGTCTAATTGTCATTTGCTGCCTATTGAACATCTTAGTTTCCTGTTGGGAACAAAGGTTCAGGACAAAGCTAGTTGAGATCTGGTGGTAGATAAATTTGAGAAGACTTGCTCGATGTTAGAGGGTTCTTCTCTCAGAGTGGGGCGGGCTCATTCTTGTTAGAAGCACTTAGGCTACTCTTCCACTTTACTACTTGTCTATTCTTCTGAACTCGGTGATTCTAAGAGGTTAGAGTCTATCTAGTGTTGGCCTTTATGGAGTGATTAAGAGGCACAAAGAGGATAGCATTTGGTGGCATGAGATGTTGTCAAACTTTTGTTTGAACTTTGGTGGACTAGGAATCAACTTATTGACGAGCTTTATGCAGCAGTTCTCAGTTTATAGCTTTGGACATCCAGGACTAATCATGTATGTCTTTGGTGGAGGGTGATTAGGGTGAAGTACAGGCTGGAGGAAAGGGGTAGGAAGACTTAGGGTCGAAGGGTCCACGTGGTTCTAGTTTCTGGAGATGGACTAGTAAGGGTGGCCCAGGGGGGTGGGGGTGGATTTTTGAGGGGCAAATCACTTCAACCTGGGTAATGGAAAGAGAGTGCAGTTTTGAGATGACATTTCACCGTTTTGTATTCATTTCCTTGCGGTGTTCCTATTGGCTAGAAAGAAAGATGCTTGTGGGTGGCTGTTTCTCCATGATATATGGCCAAGTAGTGTGGGAAATGGTGGTTTTGAGGAACTTAATGGTTATGAGGAAGAAGGCTATATTTAGTTATTAAAGAATGGACAGCATGCAGATTTTCCAGTATAGGAAGGATGAACCAGTTCAGAAACTTTTTCTAATCTTTCTATGTTCGCGTTATGTATCCTTCCCTAGGGCATTCACCATTCCGATCGAAGCATATTTAGAGGAAAAATACTTCTAGAGTTTCTGCTTTTCCTTGGGAAGCTACCCATAGGCGTATTATATCTGTTGACAATTGCATGAGGAAAGGAAAGATTCTGGTGAATGATTGTTTTCTATGCAGAATGTTGTGGAGACTTTGAAACATCTTTTGTTTGGATGAATTGCTTCATATTGTTTGCGAAATGATTCTGAATCTTTCACAAAGTGCGTTAATTCATGGCTGGTTCAGTAGTGGAAGTGGCAAGTAATTTGGTGTGATAAGAGAAAGAAGCAGCTTATCTCTCTTATTTCTCTAGGTACCATGTGGGTTATTTGAAAAGAAAGAAATGGAAGACCCTTTCTGGATGTTTATTTTTCCTTGGAGTTTCAGTTATTGGCTCTAGGCACTTTGTTTTTTGTTTGGCGGTCATTCACTCAATTTGGTGGAAGATTTAAGAGACATCGTAGATAACCCATTCTATGTTTCATTTGTAGCTAGGTGGCATCTCCCTGTTGCTCTTTAATTGAATTTATTTATTTTTGTTCTCAAAAAGTATTAATCATTTTGAAATTCAAATTTTATATGCTGCCACATTTATATTAGGTTTTAAAATATCCTTTTAGAAGCAAACTTTAAAATAAAAGTTATCTTAAATTATTGAATGAAAAGAGATATATCAGCATAGTAAATAATAAGTAAATTTATTAATTTTCATGAGAAGGTAAACATATTAGCTATTAAAAAGATAGAATGGTGATGTTCATGGGGAGAGATAATGATGCTTATTGGGAGTTTCCTTGATTAGGTTTATGAGTTGAGAAGCTAGTCACTAATTGTTTCGATGCAATAATGAGAAGATTTAACGTAGGCTTTAGTGGTGTCAAAGGTACGTTCAGATGATCATACTATGGGAAAGGCAGAATTTCATCTAGAACAGGCCGGCTGATGAAAATTAGAAACATGTCAAAAGATGCTAAATCTTCATCCGTTATTTCTTCTATTTGCCATGTGTCTGTCCTTTTCTGCTTGCTCACTCAAATCAACATGGCATGGCATAAAGTCTGTCAACATGTTTTGGTGAAGTTTGCAAATAGATTACCAGTAAAGGTGGGTTATTAGATCCAATCTAATCTCTACTTAATTAAAAGTTTTGGTGCTAAGAATATCTAAATCAGATAACATAACAATCTTATTGTAGAATCGAAGACTTAAGTTTGAGTCCTAACCTCAACTCTATCTCTTGGTTACAACTTGCCATCTATTGATAGAAGTGCCTTGGTGTGGAGAGCGCTCTGCTCTTTGAGCAATACTTTGTCATATTCGAACTAGATGATGTGATGATCTGTGCATTATTTTCTCTCTCTCTCTCTCTCTCTATGTATATATATTTAAAAATATATCACATGGATGCACTTGCACACACAATATATTTTAACAACTAGCTTAGCTCTTGTATAACTCATATGTTATTGCAGGTGGCAATGGGGAAATTACGACAATTGATGTACTTCTAGGCGTTTGGTCTGAGGTTGAATCACCTGGTCACAAGATACTTGCAACTCTTGGCTTCAGTGATGAAAAAGCCAAAGAGCTGCAGTCTTTAACTTCACAACCTGGATTTACAGATGGGTAATACCTGCCTTTTGACATTTTTTGGCATCATTGATGTAATCTTTTTACTGAATGACCGTCCACAATGAAGTTTGGAACTTTTGAGGGGCAAGTTGTATCATGCTCATACTTTTGTACTTCTCTTTGCGGTCGTGTGTTGTAGATACACCCATAATTTGTTTATGATCTCTTTCAGTTCTCGTATAATGTCGTCCATACTAAAACTAACTTTAGTTACACTGGTGATACCAGATGCTATTAACTTTACAATGGTCTGGTGAAGGTGTCATGCTTCCTTAAATTATGCAGGAAGTATTGGGACGGAACTTTTAATCAGCCAGGGAGTTTGCTACTGCATTTTTAGGAGGTAGTTTAGTAGATCCCTCTCAAGGTCATTCTTTCTAGTTTACGCGAGTCTATGGGTGTGCATTGCTGCTAGTTGTAAAGACATTTGCCATGCTAAACATTAGCAGTTGCTTTTGTACTCTTAAGCATTGATAGACGGCTCAATGTTTTTGTGATTTTCATCTTCTTGGGCCTCCTGGATGGTACAGGTTAGTATTTGTGCCTTGCCAGCTTCAGCATTCCAGTTTATCCTTGCGATGAATAATAGCAATAATGCCAAGCATGCAACTACCCCAATCAAGAACCCCGTCAGCAGCCCAGCAAGCTCCAGTGCAGCTTTGAAGGCTAAAACCACACCTAATGGTAAGGAAAGAAGGTAAAAGCCACCAAGATTTGCATACATAGCGAGCCAGGGCCTTGCTGTTCCACGCACAATTCCTCCACAAACTGCCAGCGGGAAGTTCACTACTTCAATCAGGGCCATCAGCACCATCATCTTCTTTACTCCCTTTATAATCCCCTTGTCATGGCTAAACAAAGATCCCCAAGCGCCTCTGGCTCCGATCATCACCGAAGCTCCAATGCAACCTGAAATGGCACTCACTAACAGCGTGACATATGCTGACCGGTAAGCTGTGCCTGGTTGGTTTGCTCCGAGCTCATTTGATATGCGCACGGATACACATGTAGCTAGTGAAAGCATGACAGAATAGAGCAAATAGTCGAAGTTTAGGATGATGGCTAGGACTCCTACTGCTTGCTTGGCATTCGGTAGTCGCCCTGTGAGCAATACCAAAATCTCATAGCACCACCATTCCAGACAAGTGGTGAGGCAACATGATCCACAAAGCTTAAGGAACCCGAACCAATCATGCACTCTTTGGTCCCACCAGCCTCCCTCGTTCCATGTACCCTCCTTACCATTTTCTATCACCAACACGTATACCACCAGAAGAATCACAACTAGTAGATCGGTTATCCAAATTGCCATAGCGACACCCTCAAGACCCTTGGCTTTTGCAAGCATGAAGTTGATAGGAATGTGAAGAGAAAGTGCCAGAGCTGAGGTAAACATTATAGGAAGTGTTATACTCTGTGAGGTGAGGTAGGCTTTGAGAGGACAGAGCAATGAAGTTAGTATCAAATCAGGAAGGAGATGGAAAAGATAAGTCTTGGCAACAATTGAGATATCTCGTTGTTGACCGAAGTGGATGAGAATTTTGTCAACATTCAGCCACAAGAAGGAAATCGGCAGTGATACGAGCAGCAACAAGAAGATTGCCATGGCAAGTGTCTTGTGTAGAAGCCTAAAGTTTTTAGCTCCAAAAGCTTGACCACACACAGGCTCCATGGCACTGCAGAGCCCATTCAACACAGAGAAGCCGGTGACGTTAGCAAAGGTGAATCCGAGTGTGCCACCCGCTAACTCCAAGTCTCCAAGATGGCCCAAAAATGCTGTGGTGATTGTTATCTTGGCAAACCAAGTCAAGTTCATGGCCACCAATGGTATAACTATTACTCTCTGGGTTTTAAGCTCTAAAAGCATTTTTTGCAGGAGGCTTGTTGGGGTGAGAGAATGGAGGTGTTGCAGGCATTTTTCTGATAAAGCAAAATGGATCAATGGGGGTGTGTTCCAAATCTATTTATATTAAGTGAATGGAAGATACCGTATTGAGATAAGATTGAATATTTGCAAAATGCATGGATTTCGTGAGGGCAGTGGAGGGCTTTTTCTAACTGTCAAACAAAAAAAAAAAAAAAAAAAAAAAAAAAAAAGGAAGGAGATGGTGGTGGGTGGGATTTTTTAGTGCGGGATGAGGAATGCCCTCCAACCTCTTCCCTCGTCTGTAGAAGGAAAAATTTGCAAGTGGATTCTGTGTAAATGGTCAAGTACTCATGACTTTCCCAAATAACATCTTCCATAAGATTCTTCTTTCATGATTGTCTGAGTTTATCAAGAACACATTAAGGGAGTATACAGATTTTGTCAGCTGTTCGTTGTTTCCATATTTTATTTTTCAAACAAATAAATAAAATTGATCACTACGGTCTATACATATACACGTAATAAATAATTAATTAAGAAAATGATTACTGAATTTATTTAATTAATAATAACATTCTAAAAAGTAATAACAATCTTGTCGTATGTATTTTGCCACCTTTTGTAAAGGCCTCTATACACCGCAAATTACAAGCTTCTCTTTTCTTTTTCTTTTTCTTTTTTAAAAAAAGTAGTAAAAAAGAGATTCAGGCTCATTTTTCTAAAACTATACATTTAAAAGAAAACAAAATAAAAATAAAAAAATTGAGAATTAATAGTACATATATATATATATATAAAATTGAAAATAGAAAATTCAAGTAAACAAATCCTTGTGTAAAAAATGTATATATATATATATATATTATAATTGAAATAATTGGTGTCTTTTCGTTATGAAGAGAAATTTACTTCCTCACTTGTTCCCCGTTGGTACAGCATGCATGGATATATGCATAGTTTCTTATTAGTTAATTATCGCAGAGACAGAGTGTCCTCCATTTTCACCCGTGTATATATATATATATATATATATATATATATATTATATGTGTATATTTCAATCATTTATTTTTATGCGTTCGCAAAAAGAAAATTATATATATTTTTGTGGGGTACGAACATGCGCGTGAGAAAGAGCTGAGTGTTGTATTGATTATCAAACACACATTAACAAACGATAGACTCTAAATCAACCTGGTGCGCATCTACTTGGATTGATGTGAATAATATTCAATAAATTATGTTACCTATATGTGTCTATGCTTATATACATATATACATATATATGTACATATATATGCAGAGAGGGAGAGGGAGAGGGAGAGGAGTATGTGTGTATATATGGATATCAGATTCTGTAGTTATCGAGCATATATGTTCGTGAAGTTCATGTGTAGGAGATAGAACATTGGAGAAATCGAAATTTACATTCTGATTTATATGTATATGTATATCATATATTCTACTGAATATATGAAATAATGCACTGAGAGTTGGGAGGAATGTACCATACATACGAATATAAAGAATGATAGATATAAGACTGCTACTTTTAACGGAAACATATAATTGAATCAAATAGAGACACTCCACTAATTTTGCTAATTATCTTTCATTAGTTTAATCTACAGGATGCTACCTAATAAAGTTCTCTATCACTTTTTGTGAGATGCATATGCAAGGTTAAATTTCTTAAAAACCCAACACGTTAATAATTAATTATAATTATATAACTAGGAAATAATTAGAATTTGAGATTTTGTTGTAAAAAGAGTTAAGTTTGGTTTTAGAATGTAAAAAAAAAAAAAAAACTAATATATATAAGTTCATATATAATTAATAAGATCTTTATTATTTTAGAACTGAATTAAATCACTCTCGTTTTATGCTATTAACAGTACCATTAGTTTATTTATTTATTTTTTTAGTATAATTTTTTTTTATTACGTAATTAAACTGAAACAGTTTTATTTTTATTTTTAATCTCTTTTTTTTTTTTTTATATATATTTATGATTCAGTTACTAATAATTTTTTAGAAAAGATAACGATGCTTTTAACTTATACTCTTTTAAATAAAAAATTGTGACTTGTAGTAAAGAGATCTGAAGAAAGAAGTAATAAAATAGATGCTATTCCACTAAAAATAAAAACCATTTGTCCAAAGTTCATATAAGTAGGGGGGAAAATTATAAGTCTGGAAAAAAAAAAAAAAGAATTTAAAAGTTCCCCAGTATTTTATCACAAGAAAATTATAATATAAGAGAAAGATCAGAATCAAAATCAAATATCTCACTAAGATTTATGAGAGTTTATTTGAAGATGAAACTATTTATATATATATTTAAAAGCAGAAAAATTAGTGTTAGATTCTTATTAGTGGAAAATGAGGTGTAGCATTCCAATTTGTTGGATTTAATATTAGTAAAAATATTTGGTGTTTATGGAAGCAACTTTCTATAATAAGTTGGGCCACAAAAAAGATTGAATGAAAGATGTTTTTTAAGTCCCACTACCACTTTATAAATGATTGCTCTGGCTTTGATTTCCACTCGTATAATTTTATTTTTATATTTACTATATGCCCAATTATTTATCTTGTCATTATATATTTACATTATATGTAGAACCACTTTAACAATCCTTCAAATAAACAGCTAAAACAAAACCCCAAAAAAAAAATTATTATTATTATATTTGAGATTATAATCGATCACATTAATCTTGCTGATGAATATTAATAATATTAATGTAGTTTTAAATACAAATTAATTAGCCAAAGTAGATTATTATTAATAAATATTTCACGAGAGACAATTAATAAACAGAATTAAAAATATTTACTTATTTAACCCAAACACGTCTGATTAAGAATATCTTAATTAGTTTCTCACATCATATTTCCAATATATATATATATATATATATATATTCTGATATATGGATCGTCATTATAAGTATTAAATCAAACAAACCCGGCCCAGGCCCAGTCTTCGTGAGGAAAACTTCAATTGGCCCACTACTACTACTACTACTATAGTCTTTAATTTCTTTGCTCGTCTAATTTATTTTTAATATTTATTATAATTCTTCACTTTCATTTAATTTTAAAAAAATTAATCCCAATATTCAAATGTTGATTTGTTTGTTTATATATACATAAAAAATATGTAGTCAATATTTTGTCAGAAGCAAGATTTGATTGTTTCAAAGATTAGTATATTTGAATAAATTAAGAATATGTAATTCAGTTATATAAATATTTACACTGTGTGTGTGTGTGTGTATATATATATATATATATATATATAGGATGTATGAACTAATTATCCGATTGAGCTTTTCCCATAATATTAAAAAAAATAAACCCACAATTTAATTATGCATTATTTATATGGGAACCAGAAAGATCTTCCATTTAAAAATAATAATAATCGAAGGATCTTATTATAACTTTCATGCAATGATATTATTAAATTCTGATTGATTGTTTAATTTCTTTTTAATTTCCTGAGACCTCTTTAATTAAATATAATTAATTATGTCCTTGGAGATCATAATCTTTAATTGGATATTTGTCTGTGCAATTATATATTTGATTAGACATATTATTATATATGTATAGGATATATATATATATATATGTATATAAAAGTTAAAATTAAAACAAGTTTAAAGGACAAGAAAGTATGAGTAGATTATCTGAAAGTCATCAATTTTGTCTTTGATATGATCCGTACAAATGTAAAACACGACTACTTTCTGTTTCTCAATACAATTTTAAAAATTAGATATATGGTCAATAATTATTATTAATTAATTCATTTCAATTTCATTTTTTTTTATATAAATTCTACATATATATATATATAAATATTCTCAAACTCAAAGCTAATTATTATTATATTACACGTTATGTCTACAGTTACAATTGCATCAATTCTTGACAACATTTATATATAGGATTTGCTTTATCAGACAGCTAATGTTGGCAATTGTCACTTGTAGCAGCATGGGGAGCTGAAATATATATATATATATATATATAAAAACCTTTTCTTCATTATAAAATTTCAGTATTAGCAAACCCTTTGAGAATATTCATTTGCTGAAATACGTATGTGCATTTTCTGTGCAAATTGTGGTTAATTTATTAATAATTAATCATGATTAAAGATGTTACTAATTTAATTGATGTGATTGTCAGGCAGATATTTTGTTATTAACTTCTAAGTTAATATGTTGATATAGTCAATGTTTAATATCATTACATTCCTTCTCCCTACACAAGTAATTACTATATATTAATACTCTAAATTTTAACAGGTAATATTATGATTACTACTAATTATTAAACGTATTGGTCAATCCTTCAAAAATAATAATTTCAATTCAAAATTGAAGTCAATAAGAACAGCTCCAGTAGCTCCCTCTCCTTCTCTTGATAAATATCTCTCTATCGTTTATTCTTCTTCTTCTCTAATTGGGTGTCACATCGAACCCAAAGCATAAAGTTAGAACATATTTCATAATTCATTTTCATATAAAAATTATTCAGGTATTTTTTAAAGAGGTAACATGTACATTAATTACGATGTATTCTATTTTAAATCAAACATATTTTTCTCCTAAAACCGTTCAAAATCATCGTCTCTCTTTTACTTTTCTCACCTAACCTATGTTTTCCTCTCTCAATCTTGCATTGCTCTCTCCTATTTGCTCTTTGTTGCTTTTGCTGTTGCCTTTCCCACAAAAACCAATGTTGAAAATTTCCAAGTTTTCTAGGGCTTGAAAGAGAAGAAGACAACTTTGATGGTGATTTAAGATTTTTAAAAATGATTTTTCTTGACTCTTTAAAAGATTTAAAATGACTTGAACTAAAATATTGTTAAAATTATGGTGCTAGAGAAGATTAAAGAAGAGCAAAAATATTATAGATTTATAACTATTATCAGCTTGAAGAAGAATATAGACACTTTCAACACTCTTGGGGATTGGAGAAGAAAAGAACATGTGACTCTAAGGTTTTTGTTGCTAGTGATGTTATTTTTGTTCCAGATTAAACTAAAAAATCGAAATAAAATAGACTATTAATCTAGATTACACCAAATCAAATATTACTTGGTATAGTTAATTTTAGGTTCATAATAAAAATAATTCACTTTTCAGTTCAAACATCATTTTTAATTGGTTTAAGTCTAGTCTGATTCAATCTAATTCTGAATTGATGAACACCTTTTGATGTTGTACTTTACATTCAAATTGTCTGTTTCGATATTGAAAGACGTAAAAATAAAAGTATAACTTAAAGTGATTATTGATGAACAAAAGAGAGAATGGTTGTTTTAGAAACTCCATACCTATGAGCTTATATGCAA